GCCTGTGGCTCTGCTGAGGTGTTATGGAGGTCCAGGATGCTTCTATAGTGGCCTTAAGCTCATCCAAAGTGTTGGGTCTTGTTGAGTCGTGCTGAAAAATGAAATCTTCATCTCCATAAAGCTTTTCAGCAGATGGAAGCATGAAGTGCTCCAACATCTCCTGATAGCTGCATTGACCCTGGCCTTGATAAAACMCAGTGGACCAACACCAGCAGCTGACATGGCCCCCATGGCTGTTTCTGGTTCAAAAGTGTCTTGACCTGGGGAATGAGGCACCTGTAGCCCATTTCCTGCACACACCTGTACACGGTGGCTCTGGAAGTTTGTACTCCAGACTCAGTCCACTGCTTCTGCAGGTCCCCCAAGGTCTGGAATCGGTCCTTCTCCACAATCTTCCTCAGGGTCCKGTCACCTCTTCTCATTGTGCAGCGTTTTCTGCCACACTTTTTCCTTCCCACWGACTTCCCACTGAGGTACCTWGATACAGCACTCTGGGAACAGSCTATTGGTTCAGAAATGTCTTTCTGTGTCTTACCCTCTTGCTTGAGGGTGTCAGTGATGGCCTTTCAAGGTTTCTGCATTAGAATATTTAATAGTAACTGTGGAGACCCAAAGACCCGAAGTAGACATAATGAGGACCAGCACCAAAGACCCGGAGAGGTACCCCAAGCGTGGAACCCCCAGGGACAAAAGYGCAGGGAGGACCCCATACCCGTCCCCCAGAGAGGACCATAGGAGAGAACCAGGAGAGGCCCCCCCTTCCCCCAGCGACCCCACACAGTAATCACCTGGGGCCAGCAGCAATGACCTCACAGGCCCCGCCGTCACCCTCCACGTTGGAGCAGATCCAGGCATGGACACAGAGGCCTGGGCTTACAGGACACACCACCCCCTAKCCAAGRCTCGACAGGGCCAGAGGACCCTGGTCCCACCAGGCAGCCACCGGGCCGAGCCGGCACACACCCAAGTGCCCAGCCCCARACATCGAGGACCACCAGTGCACTGGTGGGCAAATGCCCAACCCACCAKAGGGCAGAGTGGCAGGGGGGCGAGACCTCACCATTAACAGTGTAAGGTCAGTCATTTTAAARTGCACTTCTATGGAATTATTGATTTTATTTCTCTGTCTCCTGTTTTTACTTTGCATTTCTGCCTCATCATGTAAATAAGGTGGGCGGGGCTTCTTGGTTCAGCTCCTCTCCTATTGGTCAACAGACAGGAAGGAGCAGGATCCATGCACAGACTGTGCCCGTCTGCACTGCCTCACTTCAGCATTTACTAACACTCTTTACCTTCTTGTTTTTGTTTTAAACAATTGCTTGAATTTTRACACGTGGTTTATAAAGAATAATTCACATGAAATGTTAAAAGTTATCAGAATGTGTTGTCAGAAATGTATTTTATTCTTAGTTGCTTTTCTTCACTCTCATAGCTCTCTTTATTRTTTGTAACTTTTCTACAKAACCCCTTTTCTAAATGTCCAAAATGTCCTTTTAACTCTCCAGTTGTTTTAACTCTGCAGTTATTTGTATTCTTCTTTACAGCTACAGATTTAAAAATAAAACCTCTAAGATTTCCCTCTGAGAGTTTAAATTGTCCTGAAAATGACTGGCTGGGATACAAACTAGAAAAAAAAAAAACAGTGTTGTGAAATGTTGTTTCAGATTTGTTTGTGTTAACTCTAACCAGTGGTGGAGGAGAGGAGCGCTTGGTGAGGAAKGGGCGGCGCGGAGGGGCGGAGCCTCTCTCTCACAGGGCGGTGTCAGCTGAAGAAAAGCGGACAGAGAGAGGGAGAGGTGACAGAGGGACAGGTTACCCTCTGACTGGTTGTACCTTACTGCTGCAGACAACTTCAGGTAAGCAGAAGAGTTATTTTAAAGGGCGTTTTCCTCTGAGTCACTTGATTTAATTTAAAACTTCATTTCCTCCATCAGGAAACATTAGATACTGTCTGTGACAAGCTGGGCTGGATCACATTTAGCCCTTTTTTTTCTTATATTGGGAGTCAGTTTATTTATTTTGGAAGTTTATCCCAATTAAATGAAACATTTGAAACAAACATGGATGGTTTGTCATTTTGACATGATGTCACAAGTTTATTTTATTTATTTAATTATCAGAGGTTGGACATGTTATAAATCACATCACTCTGGRTACAGTGAGGACACTCCTTCAATCATTATTTGCATCACTGCTGCTGTGGCTGGATTAATATAATCCAGATTAAACCAGTGGCCTGTCTTTTCTTCTGATTCTGTATGAAATGATGTTTTCTGATATCWTAAATCCACTTAAAGYACTTATAAAAATCCTGCACACTAGTTTTTTCATCAGTAATGCTTATTTTAGCTGAACTAAACTGTTGAATAGTGTATTTATAAACCTGGTTTTAGTGTAAAGGAAATTGTTCTTATTCAAAAACCTGGTTATTAGGTAATCTGCTCCATTAGCCCTTGTTTTGTTTTCTTAATTGAGCCATGAGCTGTGTTTTGTCACAGATGATTAGGAGAAATTAGTTGTTATGTTACCTGCTTGTAACTTACTTTATTGCCTGTTTGACTGTGCAGCCACTGTGTTTGCATGCTGTCCCTAATGGTTAAATCATTTGTTTTGTTTGTTGCGCTGCAGAGGAGTATGGTTCATGCAAAGCAGGAACACATAAGACCAACCTGAGGTTAGATGTGTAAATGGGACTTTATTTGAATTGGGACATTTAAAATAATCAACTGAAATAATGTCTGCTTTATACTTAAAATATGATTAACTTTTAAATAAGTTAATTTAACTTCATGAAGACTTATTAACACACCACAAAGATAAACCACTTCATTAATAATGATGTCTTTCCAGGTCTCCTCCCAGCAGCAACTTGACTCCACCCAACTCGTCCACAAGCCACGCCCCCTTTTAAAGTTTGTTAGTAGCACGATTCCTACCATCAGACCGTTTATGCATGCAGTAACAGAAATACTTCCAGATCACCAGTTGATGTGTTTGAAATAATTATTTCCATCCTAAGTTATAAAGACGTGATGGTTTTAATATAACATATAAATTATAATATTTATAAAATACAGATTTATAATGTCTACATATTTACTTATATTAATTCAAATATTACTTGCTATAAACACACCTGTTTTCCTGGACAATGGTATAATTTCTTTATTGAATAATAACTGTTATACTTTGAAAAAACATAATTCTGTAGAATATTGTTTAATTTTCTAATTGTTCTTCATTTTTTCTGTCATCAAGTGTCACATGCTAAAGAACAAACAAACCCTCACAGAAATATTTCTTTTAGCGCCAGGGGCGGAGCCAGGGGCGGAGCCAGGGGGAGGCCAGGGGTGGCCACGGCCACCACAGACAAATCTTTGGCCACCCGGCTGTACACACCCCTTCCACAGTGAAACAACCTTTAGTGGTGTAATAATCCTCCTGAACAGTTGGTGGCAGTGTTTGAAACATCACCAAGCTCAAAGAAGTGACAAAATGTGGTTGTTTCTTTATATACAGAACAGATGTAATCTGACTTATGGTGACAATTATATATATTTATATTGTCATCATAACACTGTCATTTTATGTTATGAAGGCTGCATAATGCTCTGTGTTTGGTTCTGAGTAGACCTATCACTAAATCATAAAAAGKGAAATGCCCCTTTAAATTCACTGTTGGTGGTTATCAATATTGCACCTGTTCATTGGGTAAAATTATTAATATTAGTTTTAAACATGCAGTTGARGGTCATCATTATTTGACACAAAGAGATCTCACACTAGCTCAAATTAAAATGCTAGTTWTTAGGGGGTGGGGCCACACAACTTGACTCCACCCACCTTCTTCACAAGACACRCCTCTTTTTAAGATTGTTAGCTTCAAATATCCGTTAATGGCGACCTCCACACAGGCTATTTTTTAGAAAACTAGTCATGTGACTATGTCCGCTCAACAGCTGAGCACAAACTCTGGTTTCAATCCCACATTCAGCTGTGTTTAAACTTGAAGAAMTTCTAGAAAACATCATTAAACTCCACAGGAAAGACAAGAAAACACTTGTAACGGTGACTCAGGACAATCGTCTCCTCATGGAAGGAGTAGGTTTGGTTACTTTACCAAAGCTAAGATGCTAACATCTTCACATCTGCTCCAGACATTTAATCAGAGTTAAAAGACCAACACTGGACCACCTGGATCCTATCCCTGCACCGGCTGTCCCTGAACAGATCAAATAAATGTGTGTAACATGAGTGGACGTCACCATAAACACAGTTCAACGTAGGAAACCATTAACACTGAGCTCATTCAGTGTGGAAGCTGACAGTAACAGCCTGAAAGGATACTTTCACATGACCCACTCACCTTCCTGTGGCTTTATTTAAAACCTCTGGKAGTTCTGACTGTGCATGCAAATATAAATTTAAATATAACCAAAGCCTGTTATTACTGTATGCGTGTGTTAAAAACAAAACTTAACACTAAAGTAATATGAAAAAAAAAAACTTTCTAGAAACATTTAGGACATATTTTTGAAACGTAGTGACTTCAAAAACTCACATTAATGTCCTGAAGTATAAAGATCAGTGACCAGTTTCTTTTTATGTTCCAGTGATGTTCAAAATGTAACATTTAGACCCTTTCTTTGGTTTCACTSTGTTGAATGTTAGCATCTCAGGCTAATGTATTCTGAACGTATCAGAGCATAATGTRTTGGTTATGTGTTTGCACACTCCCTTTCTGTGACATTATGTGTTTTGTGTAATAAACTGCTAGCTTCTGTTGAAGTCAACGTGTCTGTTGATCTGAAGACATCAGGATTTCTAAAACTTTGAGAATTTATTTAGTTTCAGCAAACAAAATAATACATTTATAGTAGAGGTGCAACAACACATGTACCCGTACCGAACCATATCGAACAGAGCTTTAGGTTCAACACACACTTGTGTGGAAAAATACAGATATTTAAATTTATTTTATCAACTTGTCTTCTGAAGATGCTCTGTGTTGAAGGATCAGTGGATCTGTGTTCGACTACTCCACCTAGGCTGTATTTTTGAGCGCAGATCCACTG